TACTATAAGGGTAGAGCTATAAATCAAAGGAATAGCTTTAAATTTCATGAAGTTGACGAAATAACTGTTCTTAATTGTATTTTTTAGAGTGGAAAGCTGCAAAAATCCCTATATCGAATAACAAAAGTCCTCAGTCATTTAAAGACCTTCGCCCTGTTAGTATTTTATCAGTACCCTCTAAGATGTTGGAAAAAAGTATTCACGAACAACTTGGAACATTTTTTCATTCACATGCAGTACTTTCAGTTAAACAGGCTTAGAGCCGGGCATAGCTGTTGTACTTCACTATTAAATGTAACTGACAACATTCTTCAGGCAACAGATGACAACAAGATAACCATCTTGATACTCATAGACTTTAGGTTAGGTTAGGTTTGTTGTGAGTGTATCAATAACGATCCTCCACTGCGACTCTTTGTTCTATTGTGGCTCATACCTATTTATATTTGCCTCGGTAGCTTCGACCTCCTGAGGAAATCAATCAACTTGTTTGGAGAAATATCCTTCAGGTCTTCTGCTTGGAGTACTACGTCTCCAAGTATGTTATGTTGTACCCGATTCTGGCAATTGCAGGGCATCTGCACAATACATGCCTGACTGTTTCATCTCCTTTCATGCACAGTCTGCACTTAGCGTCTTCCGCCATGCCCAGCCTGCTCATGTGGTGACGAAATTTGCAATGACCCGTGTACAAGTCCTAATAGAGCTTTGAGGCTATTCCTGTTCAGCCGTAGCAAAGGGTCTGTTACCATCTTTCTCAAGATTGGTATATTTGCCTCAGCATGGATTAACCCTGCTAATCCCTCTCAGTATTGATAGATCTTTCTGTCCATCTCTGCAGAGATTATTTGTTTAGCCGTATTGTATGCGATCCCAATCGCTGGCTCAGGCCCTATGAAGGGTGTGATAGCCCCACTCTTTTCCTGAGTGTCAGCTGTCTCGTTTCCCTCTAGACCTGTGTGTCCTGGTATCCAAATGAGACGGACTTCATTTCCCTCCCCTACGCCACCGAGAACTTCTTTGCAATTCCACACTAATTTCGATGACGAGTAGGTAGAGTCAAGTGCTCTAAGCGTGAAAAAATAGTTATAGTTCCGTGCCTCGGTTATCGTTCTGCGATCTGGCACCCAGTTCTACAGCAAATATCTCTGCCTGGAAGATCGTTCCCCAGGTTCCTAGGCGAACAGATTTTTTAATCTTCAGCTTCAGCACGAATATAACGTACCAGCTCCAACACCTACCTCGGTGTGTATGCACAGATATCTTCCCTTATCAGGTTAACTTGCAGTCCTCACTCATTCCAGTGTGGAATTGTCACTGAGGAGGGTTTAGCATATCTTGTTATCTTTGGCATTATATCAGAAGGCATTCCCAGACTGTGGTGGTCTTGTAAGTCCACCAGTATGTCCGTCTCCTCCATGGTGATGTTGTCCATTATACCATTTGCCACATTATTATTATTATTATTATTATTATTATGATAATTGAGATGAGTAGAGTACACAGTACTATAAGCTCATGCATAAAAAAATACGGACACGTAACACAAATACATCAAATAGAAAAAAATAAAAAAAGACAGTTCATAGCTATAAAGTTTGTACACTCCTCCAGCTATCATACTGCACTTTGAAGCTATTAACTGAAGTAGCACCAACCACACTTTCAGGTAAACTATTCCAGGTATTGAATATGCGGTTGGGAAGAAACCACTGTCGGACTGTTGTTTTAAATGGCTCCTTATGCAGTTTGAAGCTGTGTCCGCGTAGATTGCTGCGCGACAGACGGTATAGATGCATGAGGTTGGTGCCCATCAAACCATGAAGTATCCTGAACGTAACTATAAGATCGCCACGAAGTCTTCGCTCAGAGAATGAGGTCAGGTTGAATAATTCAAGGCGATCTTCATAGCTTGATCTTCGTGCTCCAAAAGGGATACGAGTAGCCCGCCGCTGTACTGATTCGACGAGATTTCTATCGCGCAGAAGCACAGTGTCCCATACCGGGCCAGCGAATTCAAGAATTAGCCTCACGAATGCCTTGTAAATGTAGGCGCAAGTGTTGACATCGGATCCTTCGAAAGACCTCTCCAGCATGTATAGAAGTTTCTTGGCTTTTGATGTAACGTGGTGAATATGCTCTGACCAGGAAAGACGATCGTTGACTACAACGCCCAGATCAGTGTGGCTGGAAACTGCTTCGATGTTGTGGTCAGAGATCTTGTATGTAAATCGCGGATTTGTCTTCCCGAGGTGAAGGACACAACACTTAGTTAGATTTAAGGGTAAAAGCCAACTGACTGACCATTGACAAACAATACCAAGATCTCGTTGAAGCATAGCAGAATTTACGACAGTATTGTAAATCTTGGTGTCGTCGGCATAAGCTGAACATGTGGAGGACATCAATGCGGGCAGGTCACTTGTATACAGAAGGAACAGCACTGGCCCCAAAACAGAGCCTTGAGGAACTCCACTTGCCACATGATGAAGGTGAGACTGGCTATCACTGACGCGCACATGATGTAGTATGTAACATGTCCTTCTTGCCTTGCCTTCCAGGTATATGTGCAAGCGGTGTAAATTAAGAGGACCTCCATAGCCGTAGTTGCTGTTGTACGAAAGGCGCCAGTGATCAACATACAAGCTTATCTCTGTATTGCGCTCAGTTTGGCTTGGACGGTTCTTTGTGCTGCCTTGGTCCACCAAGATACAGATCCACAGGTTCTTTTGAAGGACTGCTTCTATATGCGAGTTCCTGTTTAGTGTTTTATCTAGCATTATTCCTAATCTGTCGCCTCTTTTGCAAACGGTACATTTTTATCTCGCTTTATTGTAGGTTTGATCCCATCCAGTTTTCTCTTTCTGGTGAAAGCTACGATGACCATTTTTTGCGGGTTGATTGACAGTCCTTCCTCTTCGCACCAATCCGCTATTGTGGTTAACACCGTCTGCATACGCTTGAACTTCGGCCTCTCATAGGCGAATAATGGCAATCAGATTATCTACTAGGAGCGACCACAAAAGGGGAGATAACACCACTCCCACCGGACACCCCCTGGCAGCTCTAAATCTGAGTGTCTCCCCCTGTAAAGATATCGTTATGATTCTGGGTGTCAACATGCTTCTGATCAAGCCGCAGATCAGAGGACTCACACCCCTGGAGGCGATTGATTCATAGAGGGATTCTGATAAGGGATTGTTAAATGCTCCCTCTATGTCCAAAAATGCAATGGCAATTTCCTTGTTCTCCAAGTTGTTGAGAGCAAGGTCTGTTGATTTACCACCCTTATAGACATATTGATGCACACTTAGAGGATGCCTCTCCAGAGCCCCCCCCCCCTTATGTGCTCATCAATTACCTTTCAAGGCCTTTCAGCAGAAATGTGGTCTGAGTTACTTCGGCACCGGATCTGTCCATCCAGGTTTGTTTTGGTTTGGTATGGCCTTAGACACAATCAACCATCAAACATTAATATCTATCATACATTCTGTTGGGGTAACTAACAATGCGTCAATGTTATTATCAAATTATCTGAACAAACGCAAACAGAAGGTGGTGCTGAATGGGAATGTGTTGGATGCTCTAGATGTGGTTGCTGGTGTCCCCCAGGGATCAATATTGGCTCTTTCACTTTATATACTTTACACTTAACAATTTTCAAAAGCTGCCAACTACTCAAAGTTGCAGTTATATGCGGATGATACTCTATTCGCCCAGATGAAGTAGATCAGAGTTCCCCACACTTTTTTGTGTCGTAGACCCCTTGCCATGTTTTTCCGTGTTGGGTAGACCCCCTACTTACCTGATATTGATTTCCTGTAAATTTCTAACTATAGTGAAGTTTAGTGTTAAAAACTTAAAGTAAAAACACATGTTAATTTATACATTTATTAATTGAATTTAAATTAAAACTACTCAAAATAAAATTTTGTATCTGTTATGTAAAATATACGTAACATTAAATAAACAGGTGTCTGACCAATAAGTGCCCGCATTGGGAATAAGTGCCCGCATTGAAAAAAAATAAGAGGAATAAAATAAAAAAAAAGTGAAAAATAATAAAAAAAAAAGTTTTTTACTTAAAATAGTACAATAGGCGAGTTCGTTTATTAATTATAACATAAACGTATGCTCTACAATAATTTCACTGTTAGTTTGATTAAATTCCGCTTCTTATACGTTTAAGTTATCTAAAAATAGGCAAAAAATGAACGAATTTTAGTGTGTACCTATCCTTGAATTTTCCAAATAATTTAAAAAAGATATATTTTCTATAAATTCTTTAAAAAAATCAATGCGGGCACTTATTCCGAATGCGGGCATTTATTGGTCAGACACCAATAAACATAAAATAACATAAGCAATAAGTCAATATTTTTTTAGGTGAGAAGGATGAACCTGATGCTTTAATAATAAATTATCAACATTTGGCGTCAATTTTGTAAGTGTTAATCTTAAATCTCCTCGGCTAATGATGTCCAGTCTGTTTCTTTTTTTCGTTAGGAGATTGGTAACAGCGCTGAACCCCCTTTCCACTAGGTATGACGATGGAAAGGAAATTAAAAATTTCCTCGCTATATTCCATAATATGGGATAAGTAACGGGTATCTTGTTTTGCAGCCAGAATTGCTGATATCCGATTTTAAACTGAACCTTAAGTTCTTCGTTTGTACATATATAGTTCAGTCAGTTCCACGTGTATTATGACTTTCGTTTCTTCTATGTCACCATATGGATTAATTATACACGGTGGTATTACCATAGTCAAAATATCCTCAAACCTAGATTCAAAATCTGAATAGAGGGCATTTAAATATTGAACGTAAGTTGAAACGTCGTCTTCCTGGCAGCTTGTCTGTGACAAATTGGGGAACTGAGAAAATTCGCCACGTCCAATATTTTGCTTCATTAGTTTAACTCTGGCAAGAAACGCTGATAAGATGGACTTTGTTTTAATCAAATTTAAACTGTCGCCTTGTAATTGCAAATTAACCATATTAAATTTTGTAAACAAATCTTTTAAATAGGCGATGTGTTTTCCTCTTCATTAAATTTTCTTTTAAAATTTTATCTTTAGTATCCAGAAATTCTGAAATAGTCTCAAAAAGTGCAAAAAATCTTGTCAAACATAAGCCTTTCGACAGCCAGCGTACTTCAGTGTGAAGGAGTAATTGATGAAAGTGTTCGTCATTTTCTTCACACAACTGCGCAAATAACCGCGTATTCAACGCGTTGCTTCGGACTCGGTTTACGGCATCAATGACTAAATGAAGTGATTCATGCAATCTAACACTGCAATTTTTAGCAACTAAATGTTGTCGATGGATGACGCAATGTATTGCTAACACCCCTGACACATTTTGTTTTAAATAGCTTATAAATCCACGATAACGTCCAACCATGGCAGGTGCTCCATCTGTAGCTACTGATATTATATTTGATAAAGGAATTGCTTTTTCAATGAAGTAATCCTTCAAAACATGAAATATTGATTCACCTTAGTGTCGGTTATCAAAGTTCTTGCGAAGAGCAGTTCTTCGTAGATTTCTTGATTCATAATAAAACGAACATATGCCAATAATAATGCTGCATTATCATTTCTAAGGTTGACTCGTCCAGTTGTATAGAGAAATGGGTCGTTTGCAAATAATTACATAAGAAGCTTTCAATATCAGAACTCATTTCATCAATACATATTTCAACAGTATTGTTGCTTAAGGGAATTCTTTTAATGATATCAGATGCAGGTTTGCGTAAAACTGTTTTTAAAACCTCTTCAACTGCTGGCAAAATTAACTTCTCTCCGATAGTATGCGGTTTTCCGGATTTTGCTATATTGTAAGACGCCCGCAAACCATCATCATTTCTTTGTGACGTCGAAGCGAACATTCTGTCCAGTGTAGGTCTCTTCTGAAATTTATCTTTGAGTGTTTGAAAGTATTTCAAATCTTTCTCTGTTTTATCAGGGTGGCATCTTCTCAGATGATCTTGCAGTTTAGATGGTTTCATAGCGTCATTGCCCAAAACTTTGTTGCATAAAAGGCACATAGGCGATTGTTTGTCCAGCAATGATGGAATGAAGCCAAATTTCAAATAATCAACACTGTACTGTTTACATTTCTTTTTAGATTCGGACATGGCATCAGTCATCTGTGTGCAAAATTAAATTATTTAAATAATAAAAATATTTTTTGATTTTTCCGAAAACATTCCATAATTCGAACATCTTCTTGCAACAATTAGCTCGAATTACGGAGATTGCACTGTAATTATATTACCGATTGCTAAAACTTTCAAAGAGAAACTATTGAGGAGTACTCGTGTAATTTTGCATGATTGAATATTTAACTACTAATAACTAAAGTCATGATTGGCGTAATTTATCTATCTTTGCTAACTACGAGTACAAAACTAAAATTTAATAAAAAATAATGTACTTACTTTCCTCCAGCACTCTCAAACAAAATAACACTGACTCACTATAATTTGTGTGATATACTATCTGTTTATATTTTTTAAAATATTTTCTTAGCACTTTCCTTTTCAAGATTCAGGAAACGAATAAACGTATTTGTCCCATATTCGTATTTATAGAGTGACGAATTGAACAAGTCAGTGCAAGGTAGCGAAGCTCTGAAACTATCCACTATCGTGGACCCTCATATTCATTTCATGGGCCCCCAATTTTTTTTTCGCTGACCTAGACCCCTTGCAAGTTGTCATAGACCCCTAGGGGTCGATATAGACCACTTTGGGAATCAATGATGTAGATGGTTATTGTGACTCTTTTTGTACTTCCTGTATAACTTTGCTTTATGCTTGACTTTCCTAATAATTTCGCTGCTGTACCACGAAGGGTTTCATATGGTCAGGGAAACATAGTCTATTAATGAAAAATACATTGCGTTAACCAAAATCTGATGACATTTCACTCTTCTGTCTAATCCAGGGTAGACCGTTAACTTGAGGACAAAACTACAAAACGTAGGGAAGAGAATTTATATTTTTAATAAAGTTGACACATGAGAATTTATTTTTTTAAAATAACATCATTGACATGTCAGCCATCGAGACGTACGCATCCTCGAATCTCGACTTCATATTCGTGTTGTGCTTGAGCTGGGCAAATCGTCGGTTTATTGGCGTAAATACGGCTATTGAGGTATACACATTCAAATGAATATGAGCTTTATAAGAAAAGAGAATGTTGTTCAAACTTGGAAAGCGCTCTAACATTGTTTCGGCGTTGATGATGGTCCTGCGTTTTCAATGTCTGCACTATTTGAAGTTTATATGGGTGCAGTTTAAGGTCTTTTACCAAAATACGCCTTACAGATGTTCTTGATATGGCGAGCTCATCTGATCTGTTTCGGGATGGTAAGTGTGGATCGCGCCGTACGGACGTCGTAACTTCCGTACGGCTTTTCCTTTTAATAATAATAATAATAATAAAATGTCTTTATTAGGCACATTATATAAACTACAACATAATGTGACCTCTACGTAGGCGAAGTCTAGCTCTTGGCTACTCTACTTAACCTACCCAAATAATAAATTGAAATACTTACTCAAAGGAAACTTTGACAAGCAGCAAAAGACGCTTCAAAACAATGAGCTTGATAGCTTCCTGACATACATAATATATACACACATATATTACGTAAAAATAAAATAAAATATAAGAATTAAAAACTAACTTTTCCACAATTACTACAATGACAAATAAATCTGTTTCACATGCTTACGAAATCTGTTTACTGGCCAATCCTTTATATTGTCATCTAATTCGTTATAAATCAGGATAGCGTTGTAAGTGTATGAACTACGAAATAAAGTTGTTTTATACATAGGGATCTCTAGTGTTTTTTTGTGCCTGAAATCAATGTCTGAATTATTTCGTCTGAAACCAAATTTCTCATAAAGATACAAGGGGGATCGAGAAGATATGATCTTATGTGTAAACACTGCTATATGGTACTTGCAAGCATTTTCTATACACATCCAACCAAGCTGAAATCTCTTTAAGGAAACATGATCATACTTCTTGAGATTAAATACAAATCGACAACAAGTATTTTGGAGTTTTTGGAGTCTTGCTTTTGTGATAGAATCAAGACAATGATAGAACACAGTGCTACAGTAAAATAAGCTTGGAAATATAATAGCCTCATATAACTTTTTTCTAACTTTAAAATTCAAAATAGAGCGATTGACATAAAAATACTTCAAAGTTGCATAACATTTTTTTAAGATAGACGAAACATGCTCCTTAAACCGTAAAGTATAATCAATAATCAACCCTAATTTTTTTGTAGTATTTACGACAGCTAGACGCTCCTTGTCGATTTTTACATCAAGAGAATTCAATATAGTGTTACGTTTGACAGCAGGACAAAAAAGCATCACTGAGCACTTATCCTTATTGAGCTTAAGATTGTTACCATTTGAGTATCCTACTATTGCCTCCAAATCATCATTAAGCTCATTGATTGAAGTATGTAAAGTGTTACTATTAAAGCTCTTATATATCTGTGTATCATCGGCATAGCACATCACAGAGGAGTTTTTCACAGAGCTACCCAAGTCTATAGTATAAATTAAGTACAACAAGGGCCCTAAAACTGAACCCGGAGGGACACCTGATGTTATATCAATCGGACTAGATATAGTGTTGTCTATCTCTACTACTTGTTTACGATTTGAAAGATATGTTATAAAAAACATTAGAGGTATGTCTGAAAAACCAAAAAACTTCAATTTAGCACATAAAAGCTCATGATCTACTTTATCGAACGCCTTAGAATAATCTAATGATACAAGTGCTGAAGCATCTCCCTTATCAAGCGAAGCAATGATGCCATCTAAAACCCTTGCTAAAGCTGTAGTTGTACTAAAACCACTGCGGAAACCAGATTGACACTTGGGAAAGAAATCATTATTAGAGAAATAATGATAAACCTGATGTTTAATCAATTTCTCCAATATCTTCGATATAACAGGAATCAAAGTAATAGGTCTTAAGTCTGAGAGACATTTTGGATTTTTACATTTAGGCAAGGGCTTGACAAGAGATAGTTTCCAAGCATCAGGGAAATACCCAGCCTCCAGGCAACAGTTCAATAAATGCGTCAATGGTAGTAGTACTCGAGGCAAGCAATGCTTAAGCATTGAGACTGTTATACCATCCAAACCTGCTGCATTAGATTTTAGGGACAGAATAATGTCTAGCACCTTTTGTGGGGTAGCAAAACTAAATTCAAATCTAGCACTTTCATTAATTTTGGTACTATTAAATTTATCAACTAGATCCTTGCAATTGCCCGAAGGTGTGGAAACGGAAGAAAAATAATTGTTTACTTCATCGGCATTTTTCAACTGCGTAGGTAAAGATCTATCTACATTAGTTTTGAGTTTCAATGAATGTACAGCTTTCCAGAGATGCTTGTTACTATTTAGTTGTTCATTGAAGCTTAGATATGCTGCTTTCTCCCGCCTAATAGCGGAAATGACATCATTTCTTAATTTCTGGTAATATTCGACACTAGCTGCACTTTTTAAAATCTGATACTTTCTGAAGGCTTTATCTCTCTCAGAGATCAAAAATTTTATGCCACCTGTGAGCCATGGAGCATAAAGTTTAGTAATACGTGCTGAAACAACAGGAGCATGAACATCAAACAAATCCAAAATATGATTAGAAAAAACGTAGCTTTATCCTCTAAGTTACTGATGTAATATATATGATCCCATGGGATTTTATACAAATCCACCAAAAACTGATCTTTACAACAATGTTTAAAGTCTCTATATTTGACAGTCTTTTGAAAATTCTTAGGTCGTGTGATGTTGAAGTCACATCTGACTACATTATGATCTGACAAATTCGGAACAGGTGCAGAGCTAGTTGAAATTAATGATTCAGCTAAGTTATTTGTTGTACAAATGACATCTATGGAGGTTGCCGTGGTTAAAGTTATCCTAGTTGGTTGGGTGATGTGCGATACCATATCGTAGCACGTAATGCAATCTAGAAAAGAATGATCAGTAAGTTGATCAACGTTTATATCACCCAGCAAGTATATATTATCATACTCAGGAGACACAAATGAGAGAAAGTTGTCTATATGATCAATAAAACTTGATAATCTGCTCGAAGGAGCTCTGTAGATAACACAAACCAAAATTTTTAGATTATTCAACACTATTTCAGCACAAACCTGCTCCATACCATCTGGACATAAAAAATCTTGCAATACCAGCTTACCTCTCAGTGAATCCCTTAAATAAACACCAACTCCTCCTCCACGTCCTACTCGATCAGTATGGAAAAAAGTGTACTCAGGAATATTTACTATATCTGCTGTAAAATCATTATTAATCCATGTTTCGGAGATACCCATAATATCATAGTTATCAGTAGTCAACAAATCTACAAAGGAAGTAGTCTCTGTGGAAACAATGCATAGCTTTCACTTAAAAAATATATATCGCCACCGC